AAATCGACTTTCGATGGGGGAGTATCCATATTATATTTCAGACCATCCCCAAAATCGTTAACGACGCCGAGAATCGTAAGTTTTTGCTGAGAAAGACCCACTACAAATTACAAACTGTGTGAGTATAAAGGGAAAGAATAAGCGTTTTCGGAGGCGATGCAAGCATACAAGACAACAAGACCTATCCATGGAGGTCGGCTTCCCGATGTCGATCTCCATCTGAATAATAAAACCCCTTCACGATGTCGATCTCCATCTTACTCTAGTCTCTCAGCTATAGTCTTGATCTCCACAAGCTTTGAGAAACGGGGAACTTTTGTGGTGTTTTTTCATTTGTCGAAGAGGGGGGAAACTGGAAAAGGAAGTACCTTTCGACGAGGAAGGAAGGGTAACTGATCGACATTTCATCTTATAATGAGGGCAAGAAGGAGGCAGTAAATATAAAATGGGTTTTAATTTCTTTTTTATTTTTAAGGTAGAATTTCGTATATGTCTTTCTTGAATATCAAAATATCATATTTGCTCAATATAATTTTTAAATATCATATTTACCTTTCATAAATTTGAAAATATCATATATATCCTTCTAGGAATCCCCAAGAACCATTTATTAAGATTTGTTATAAAAAATTAGTTAAAATAAAATATAAATGATATAAATTTCTTTTATATGGACGAGGGACTAATCATGATTGAAATTTAAACCACAAAAACCATTATTGAGGCGTACAAAAGTTAGGGGCCTCAAAGCACCCATAACGGTGATCTCAATTAGTGTTCAATATTTAGATAATACCGAATTGGTCAATTGCACAATTTGGATCACACTATTTGGTTATGATATTCAAAATTTTGGATTGGTTTTCAAAAAAAACGAATTATTATTTTGGATTTTTGGTTTATAATACAAGAACCAAGTATTTTATGTGTATTATTTATCTTTAATATATATATATATATATATATATATATATATATATATATATATATATCATTATTTTATAAATTTACTAAATGATTTTTTAATAGATTAGATAGTTTCATCCAATATAATACATTACCATGTATTTCTTCTTAAAAGTATTTTTTTTGAAGAAATACTAAATTATAATATAAGTTCCTTAGTTGGTTTACAGATTTCAGTTAACAAATATATAATTTGTGTTAGTTTCTTTTATAGAGTTTATTGATATTCAATTTATATATTTTTAAAAATATCTTGACAAACGAAAACCAAATTAACAAAATCGAATCATATTTTGAAAATCGAAATCAATTTAGATTCATTTGATCCGATCAGAACCGATCTATCCAAACGAGACTCCTACTCTCAATCAACTTGCAAAGTGCCATATAGGTTAAATGAAAAAAACCATGTGATTCATAAACTTGTAACTCCAGCAAGACTTTGAACTTAGTTATAGTAGGATCATCTTTTGAAATAAACAGACGCCAATAATTAATTTTCTTGCTATAATTTGTTTGATCCACAATATGAAACATATTATATTAATATACATAAGGTAATTATTGATGTGTTAATAGGATCATATTTAAAATGATGTTGAAATTGTATTGATGTAATTGTTTATTCCAAATAATGATTTTCAATTGTTTTGTTTGCAAGTAATAATTTAGTACAATTAAAAACTATTGGTCTTTTCATAAAGACAAAACTGCGTTTTTGGTCCCTTTGGTTATCCAAAAATTGTGGATAAGGTCCAAAATGTTTTCAAGTTGCATGGTTGGTCCAAAATATGAAATTTCTTATGATTTTAGTCCCTGGACTTAACTCTCGTCTATTTCTTTCTGTTTAGTGTAGCACGTGCCCTCCATGTGAGGGTAATTTCATATTTTCATCTATTGGTCCCTGTGGTTTGAAAACTCCTTTAAGACCCAACCTTCAACGTCTCTCTTCTCTTTCATCTTCATTGAGACAACATCTCTTTCTCTCTTACTCTTTCTCGTTTGATCGATTTCTTTTTTCACTCACAATGGTGCAACAACTATGTTTTTGTGGAAGAGATGTTGTTGTGCGAACCTCCTGGACAAATTTAAACCTTGGTCGTCATTTCTTTGCATGCCCTAAAGAGGTAACATTGTGCAAAATTAGGTCAATGGTTTTGATTTAATAATCCATTTATTTTTCTGTATAATTGTAGTATTCAAAATGTAGATTTATTGGTGGGTTGATCCCCCCCCCCCCCACCCATGTGTCCACGATTGACAACTATAATATCAGGATTGATGATATTAATCAACAGGAATGAGCTGGATTTGGGAAATATGCAACGTGAATCAAAAAAATAAAGATGCATTTGGTTATAAGTTGGGTTCTACTTCTTTTGGTTATCTACTTTAGGAATTAGGGATTACATGTTAGGGTGTAGTTTTTGGAAGATTGTTGTAATGTTATGTTTTGGTCTTGGTTTTTGTAAGCTAATTTGGAAGGATTAATCAAAGAATGTAGTAATGTTGTAGTTTAAGTTAATGATGTTGTTAATGGTAACTTGTTTTAATGAAAGTGTTCGTTTTTTTTTTTTTTTATAAATTGTCACAGTAGTTTTTGTTTTAAATTGTCTCAGTTGAAATGGTTATGATAATGGTGTATGGTGTAATGGTGAAAGTGCATAAATAATACATAACCAAGTTCAAAAGGGCATAAATATTACTTAATAACTAGAGGTTTAAAACAATACTAACTATTACAACCACAAATAAAACACAAAATCTAGTAGCCTACCCTTGCAACAGTTCAAACTTCATTTGCTTAACTGGTACCTCCATTTCCCCTTCCCCTTGCATGTCCTGGCATTATGGCCCTTGTTCTTACACTTACTACATGTCACACTCACAAATCTCCTAGTTAGCTTTTGACTTTCACATTGACCTTGTTATGGGTTCTCTTTCTGACTTTAGCTTACACTCTTCTCATCACAGTCTGCCTCCGTTTCTTTTTTAGTCTTCTTGGCTGCTTGTGGTGTGGTGGAGGGGTAAGGGTTGTTGGAAAATCACTCTTAGGCCACATGCTCCTTCCTTTGATAGGGTCGACTGTGAAAGAGTACATGCTTTTCCATGTTTCTAGCTAATACACCTTATGCACATAGGTGTACAGTTCTCCTACTTTCTCACTATTGTCTGCCATTTCATTGATTGTTGCAATTGCATGCTTGCAGGGCATGCCTATCAATTCATATTTCCTACAGCTGCAAGTCATCTGCCACATGCCCACAACATGTTAATCATGCCATGGACCTTTAACGTGGTACTTACTCACTCCATTCCATATTGTAGTGTATTGTGAAGCACTTGATATGTTTGCCTGTAATAGCCTTTCACCAATAGGTGTGAGTGGACCTGTGCACTTGTTTATCACCTTCATCACATTACATACTATTTTCATAAGATATTCCCTTATGAGCTCCAAACAGGATATTATTGATTTATCCCTCCCATTTAGGAGCTTAATGTTGAAAACTTCACACAAATTATTCAACAACATATCTAACATTGCCCTACCTGTTATTATATAGTACATATTGGTAAGTAAAATCAATAGGAAATAATGTAAATATTTAAAATTATACAAATAAGTAATTACCTGAGAAATGGCTTCTAGCCCCATAACGGGGAGGGATTTTCATAAGCCAATCATACGCTTCCACACCATAGGATCTGAACTCTCTCATTAGTGTTTCAAACTCTCGGATGGTTGTGGCTTCAACACAATTCCACAAAGGTTCCTTCTAATCTGTAGTCCTCCATAATTTTCTCATATTCTCATAGATATGCCTTAGACAATATCTATGTTCAGCATAAGAAAATATGTGTGTAATAGCATGTATGAGACCCTGTTCACATGAAGTAAATAGTTAAATTAGTATGTAAGTATAAGTTATTTGTCTAATAAAATATGTTAACCGCAAAAATACCTTTTGTTTGTCACTGATAAATGTGAAGTTTGAGTTAGCATGCATGTCCAAGTCATCTCTAAGCACACATACATCCTTTTGAATTGCCTGGTTGGGTTATCACAGTTAGGCTCAGACTCCACTTGAATTTTTACAGTTGTATCCACATTTGTTGCTTGTAACCCAACCACCATTTTTGTTGCGAGAGCTTTAGCCCTAAAAACCTTGTCACCCGAAATACTAACCTCATACTTCCTCTGTAGCTCCTCTTGAATTGCACGAATTGGCAATCCAGGATTTTATTCAATCTGATCCATAATCTGTTTCAAAATGAAGGTCGCAGTGCAAGATTTGATTTTTAGGGACTGAAGGCAGATGTCATTGCGATTATATGTCTTTACAACCCAGTACACATTATCATTTGTCCTGGATGCATGGAGTCTCCAAGTACACTTGGCCTTTTCTTCAATTACTTCATTTCCCTTTACCTTTTTTCTGGTAGGTCCACCAACCCCACTTGCATCGACTACCACAGTTTCCTTACAAATAGTTGTCAACCTATTTTTGTCATTTTTTGTAAAATAAATATTTATTCTAGTCTCCAATGCATGCATATCAATTTTTCCTTTAGTTCTTTTTTTGAGTTATATTTCTATCATACATAGAAGGCCACCTTGTGCACTTCACCATGAGAACACATTCTCTCCTTGCCTAACTGTTTGATGATTTCCCTTCTTTTCCTATCATTGTCTGTCACCCAGAGAATCCCATTCATCATTGTTAATAACCTCTACATCCTCTATTTCCTCTTCAACATCATTACACTCATGAAACTTATACTCACTCCTTAAGTACTCTGCATCTTTGTCTATACTCGTGTGAAAATTCTCCATGTCTGCTTCAATATCTGGAATTAGGTTATCTTCATCAACCATAAAGTCAGTATCTTAACTGCTGTCTTCACTACTGTCTGAATCATCATCACTACTTGCATCTACATCAGCTATGTTGGATGATTTTTTTGGAATACTTTCATTATATTCAACCCCATAGAAAGGGTCAAAATCTTCTAACATTTCCTCTTCTACACTATAGTTGTTTTTGTTGCTTATTCACAGCAGTACACCCCTCTTCTACACCCTTATTTGTAATAGTATGCCCCTCCTCTACAACCTCATTTGCAGTAGGATGTCCCTCCTCTACACCCTCATTAACTAAGTTTTCAACCATTTCTACATCATAATTAGTAGTCACAAGGTCAACTTCACCACCTTCAACTACACCTATTCCTCATTTGTCTACCCAATCCAAGCAAAGCTTTTTACTACATGATGAGCTACCTTGGGTAGGTTTCCAACCTCTGCCCCTACTCAAATCAGGTGTGAAAGACCCATACCTTGCCAAGGTCAACCCTACTTTACCCTTACAAACTTCAGATTCCACCAAGTGAGGACCAAGAGTAGAGGATATTGACTGAGGTGGTTCCTCATATTCTATCGCTTCTATTATAACCCTTCTAGGACCATTTGGGGACATGAAATATGTAACTAACGTTATTTCTCCATGCTTTGTGTACAC